TCATTATTCTTTAATGTTGCATAGTATTCGATTGTGTGAATGTACCATAGTTTGGTTATCCATTCATCTGTTGATGGGCACTTAGGTTGTTTCCATCTCTTTGCTATAGTGAATTGTGCTGTGATGAACATGGATGTGAAACATGTCTATTCACATCCTGGATCTCACCTCTTTAGGATATATTCCTAGTAATGGAATTGCCTCATCAAATGGCATTTCTATTTTCAATTTTTTTAGGGAAATGCCATACTATTTTCCACAGTGGGTATACCATTTTACAGTCCCACCGGCAGTATATGAGAATTCCAATCTCTCCACACCTTCACCAGTATTTGTTATTTTCTGTCTTGTTGAACTTTGCTAGTATTGCTGGAGTGACGTAATGTCTCATTGTTGTTTTGATTTGCATCTCTCTAATGGCTAGGAGGAGCTCTCGTGGCATAGTACCTAAGACATTTGACTGCTAACCAGAAGGGTGGTAGTTCAAACCCACCAGCCACTCCTCAAAAGGAAGGTTGGGAAATCTACTTCTGTAGTGATACCACCTCAGAAACCCAAGGGAGGGATCGCTGTGAGTCAGATCTGACTCCACGGCAGTGAGTAATGGCTAAAGATCATGACCATTTCCTCATGTGTTTGTTGGCCACCTATATATCTTCTTTAGTGAGGTGTCTGTTCATGTCCTTTGCCCATTTTTTAATTGGATTGTTTGTCTTTTTGGTGTTGAGGTGTTGAAGTTTTCTATATAAATTTTAGAGATAAGTCCCTTGTCAGATGTGTGATAGCCAAATATTTTCCTTTGGGAATCTTTCTACCTGTGTTCTTCATGTCACTGCCTTTATTCTCCCATCACTCCAGAAATGCCCGAAGGGGCCTCATTGTCAGTGCTCAGTATGTTTTTGATGGCAGATTCCTCTGACTTATTTAAACTTTTACCTGAGAAACTTTCATCCTATATTAAGGTTTGATGCAATATTTTTCCCATTAGTGACATGACAGTTTTTAACTTCTTCATCTGCTAGCTCATAGGCAAAAGTCAGCATAGCCCAAAGTCTGTGCCAAGCATTTGTTAAGGCTGATTTATTACTTATTAACATCATAACAAGCACTAGCAATTGACTTTTTAAAAAACGTTTTGGATGCCTAAACAACTGTAAACTGCAGTAACCATAGAGTTTAAAAACTATGTATAGCACTGGGCTGTTCACCTAAAGGTCAGTGATCCAAATCCACCAATTGCTCTGTGGGAGGTAGATGTGCCAATCTGCTTCTGTAATGATTGTTGTTGTTGTGTGCCATTGTGCCATTTAGACTCATATTGACCTTAGATGACAGTTTAGAACTGCCCCAAAGGGTTTCCTGGCTGAAATCTTTATGGGAAAAGATCTCCAGGTCTTTTCTACCATGGAGCAGCTGGGGTGTTTGAACCACCATCCTTCGGGTTAGCAGCCAAACACTTAGCCATTAAAGCACCATGGTTTCTACCATAAATATTGTTGTTGTTGTTGTTATGTGCCATCGAGTCGGACCCGACTCATAGCGACCCCTCCTTGGGTTTCTGAGGTGGTATCACTACGGAAGTAGATTGCCCCA